TTTAAGTTATAATATATAAAAGACTGGATTTTAAATTTTTATTATATTTAATAAAGCTAGCTTATAGTTAACTTCTTTAATTTATTTTAAAATTTCATAAGGTTTTATTTTTTTAATATTAAGTTTATTACTTAGCCTATTTATTTTAATATTTAGTAGTTTATAGCCTTATAAATATTGCAGTAAGTAAACTATATCTCCTTTCTAGAGAATTAATTCTATAATTCTATCTTTATCTATATATTTCTTTATATATTTATTAATAAATTTAAGCTATATATATATTTCTTTATGTAAATTAATTATTAATTTAGCTTATAGTTATACTTTTTTTAAGTTAAGTTTATTTTATAGTAGTTTAAATGCTTTAGGCATAAATCTATAATTTATATAAAAAGGTATTATTTTTATAGATTTTAATAATGTATTATTATAGCATAATTAAGCTACAGGTAGTTTTTTAACTTAATTGTCTTATATAAAATTAATATAAGCTTATAGATAAGCTTTAATAATTTAATTTATGCATTCAGTTTGTTTATTTATCTAAAGGTAATATATAGTATTAAGTTTATAGTTTATTTTTAATTTAATTATAAGTTTTTGCTAAAATTTAAAAGTAAATATTTATCTTTAATTTAAGATAATTTCTTTAGGTAATTTATAATTAGCAGCAACTATCTTTATATAGGTATAAGCAAGGTCTTTTAATAAATATAACTTTTTATATAGTAAAAAATAGGCTTGCTTTATAAATTAGTAAATTACTATAAAAATACTATTATATTATATATTTATAAATAGTTCTTTTAATAAGGGTAGATTAGTAATATAGTTAAAAGTAATTAATTTTTAAAGTTATTCTATAATAAATAATAATTATAATTTTCCATAAGGTTTATATCTTCTGTCTTTTATTTATTAATATATATTATAATATAATATAATATACTTTATATATTCTTTAAGCTTTTTAATATTATAATACATTAAAACTTAGTTATATATTTTTATTATACCCTTATATTTATGCAGCAGATGTTTATAAATATATTTAATTACTTTCCTTTATAGTTCTTTAAGTACTTAAATTTTTCTATATTATTTAAGGTATTTTAAGTCTATAATAATATTTTTTAAATACTATTTATTTTTTTAGTTTTTAATAAATTCTTTAATTTCTTTAAGCATAAGGTTGCTTTCTAGAACTTTAAACATTATATAAATTTATACTTATTTAATATTGCTATTATTATTAAATTACAGTACTTATACTATATACTTAAGTACTTTTTATTTATAATTAACTCTTTTACTTAATATATTAACTTATTTATTTTTTAATCCTTTATAATAAATAAGTTTAAAGTTAAATTATAAAAGAAATTTAAAGTATTTAATTTATTAGCTTAATAGTTTTTATGTAGTAGTAAAGTAAGTAAAATTCTTATAGTCTATAAGGATTATAACCTTATGCTTGCTTTTATAGCAGTAATGTCTTTATTCTTTAAGTGCTTTAATAATAGTTAATATTTCTCTATTATATATAGTATATTGCATTGCTGGTCTATAGAGTTTATATAAGAAAAATATAATAAGTTATAACTTACTGTCTTCTTTAGGTTAACTTAATACTCCTTCTATTGCAAATACTAATGCATTAGTTTTAATTATAATAGGTTTTTCTAGGTTAAATATAGCAAGAATAGGTTTTAATATTATTGCTGTTTTAAATTCTTTAAGGGCTTTCTGCTATTTATCCCCTTATTTAAAAAGAATACCTTTTTTTATTATATTTATTAGCAGAGTAGCTTTTTATATAAAGTCTTTAATAAATTTTTAATAATAGTTAATAAGTCTAAGGAATGCTTATACTTCTTTAAGTATTATAGGTATTGGCTATTCTTTAATTATAGTAACTTTCTTAAGGTCTATATAGATTTTTTCTAGGGTAATAATATATTTAAGAAATTCTACTTATTAAAAATAAAAAATATATTTTTTAGGGTTAATAAAGAGTTTTACTTTTTTAAGTTTTTGCAGTATAAGATAGATGTATTTTTTATATTCTTTAAAGGTTTTTAAAAAAATAAAAATATTATTAATATAGGCTATTGTAAAGTTATTTAAGTATAGTCTTAATATATAGTTTATTTTTTTTTAAAAGAATGTAAATGTATTAGTAAGCCTTTATAGCATAACTATATATTTATATAACCTATATTTTATAGCAAATACTATCTTCTATTTATCTCCTTCTTTTATTTATATAAGCTTATAAGCTTCTGTAAGGTTAAGAGTTATAAACTACTTTTTCCTATATAATTTATTTTTAATTTATAAGATTAATAGTAAAGGGGTTTTATTTTTAATAGTAATTTAATTTAATTTATGGTAATTAATAACTAATTAAAGTTTATTATTCTTTTTTAAAATAAAAATAATAAAATATTTAATAGGTAATTTTAATATATAGATATATCCTTTTTATAATTGTATTTTAATTTATTCTTTAAGTGTTTTTAGTTTTCCTTTACTTAAGTTATATATTTTATAAAATTTTAGTAATTCTCCTTCTTTTAATACTATCTTATAATTCTATTTTAAATATAGTAGTAACCCTTTTTTTAATTAGTTATTAAAGAGTTTTTAATA